CAACTGTTTACCCCACACTGCCTGCACTTTCCATTTCCTGGAGGTGTTTTCAACACACACCCCACCTCTTTGAACAGYAGTGTTTGATGCTTGAACTGAGTCCTGACTGTGAAGCTTTCTCCTTCCTCAAATCCTYGTCTTTTGTGTGTTTAATGAGCGATTGCATCCTCTGAACCAGGCGTGACTTTGATAAAGCTAAACTGTGTGGAGATGAATAAATCCTCTCTCCACTCATTGACAACACACTTCATAAGGCAGGTTTTTTTCCCGTGCATTGCAATGCCTTTGGTTCATTGTGGGGGTTTGGACTTGCATACAATAGTGTTTTGATGAAGCTTAAAATTAGAATCCAGTTCAAAAGCCAAACTTTTCCGTGCTCGTATATCACATCTGCCTTTTGTCAACGAGTTCATTGTTCTCTGAAGATAAACAGGAGGAAAATGAAAAACTGGAAGGGAAAATAGCTATATTTTTCAACTTTGGAAAGAAATGGCTCTTCTGCAGAATTGTGGACTGTGTTCTGGTCTGTTGCGGTTCAAATGGAGYTGAGCTGTAAGGAGAAGATCTCTGTTTAACGGTCAGTCTATGCTCCTACCCTCACCTGTAGTCAGGAACTCTGGTAGTGACTAAAAGATCCAGATCTCAGATTCAGGAGGTCCAGAWGAGTTTTCTCTGCAGGGTAGCTGGACACTCCCTTAGAGACAGTCTGAGAAGTTCAATTCTCCAGGAGAGACTCAGAGTAGAGCTGCTGCTCCACATCCAGAGGAACCAGCTGAAGTGGTTCATCTGGTAAAGGAGGACCCCTGGACGCCTCCCTAAGGAAGACTACTGGACATTTCCAACTGCGAGGAGAACCCAGAACACTCTGGAGAGACGTCTCTCAGTTGGTCTTAGAATACATTTGAGTCCTACCAGAAGAGCTGAAAGAGGTGACTGTGGAAAGAAAGTTCTAGACCTCCCTGATCAAGATGCTGCACCTGATACCTGACTCTGGAGTGAGCGGAAGACAATGGATGGATGGATGGATGGACATCTACAACTTCAAGATGGCTGCCACAGTCCAAAGTCCTAGAAAAGCAGGAGGTTTAGTGAGAGTTATGTTGAACTTCAGAGTGAGAGTAGCTGGAAGTCCTTCCCTCACATCAGCTGTAGCTTATCAAGTGAGAACTTTGTCGTTAACTATTAGAATCAACAATATTAGCAAAATATCACAGATTGAACAGAATATTTCTATTGCAACTGATTGACCTTATCCAACACAAAAATGACTACAACAAATTTTATAAATTTTGAGTTCAAACTGGACATGGTTGATGTAGCAAACAGACTGGGACTGAGTGGATCTCGTGTCAAATCACACAGACATTTTCAGTTTGTTCTCACTTTAACTCGTTTTCTTTTTTTAAATTTAGCTCCATGTAAAACTCTCATGTGAAAGAAAACTAGTGATGTGTATTTCTTTATGGAATTCTAGGACTTGACATATTTTTAGATGTTTTGCTATTAAATTKATAATGCCATTTCCATCGTTAATAGTAATAAGGTGACTTTTCAAAGTCCTGCAGCTCCTGCGGTGTGAGCGCTCTCCCTCTTTGCGCTTGTCTGTGGGAGTGCAGGGTCTGTAGCATCTCTGGTGGCTCAAAGTGGGCAGCAGAGTCTGCTAAGTGTTGTGTGTCGGCGGTATGTTATGTAAAAGTCATTCTGGAGCTAATTTCAGTCCAAAGGGACCACCCTGTGGTACAGCAGAGAGCTGTAGTAGACTGCACACACTTGTACTTCAAATTTAAACTCAGAATAAACTAAATGGAGGAGAAACAACCATTGATAAAATACTGTATACTGCTTGTACATAATTTATTTAAATCACGGGGATAGAAGAGGAAAATAAGAGGGGTGTAGATTAGGGCAGCTGTGGTGAAGTGTTTAGGGGAGTTGTCCTGTAACTGGTAGGTTGCCGGTTCTATCCCCCCTTCCAGCTGTCTCAGTCGTTGTGTCCTTGGGCAAGACATCACCTGCCTTGCCTACTGATGGTGGTCAGAGGGTCCGTGGCACTGGAACATAGCAGCTTTGCATGTCAGTGTGCCCCAGGGCAGCTGGGGCTACAGTGTAGCTTAGTAGCATCAGTGTGTGGATGTCTGAAATGTAAAGTGCTTTAGGGTCCTTATGGACTTGATAAGGTGCTATATTAAGTTCAAGCCAATTATCATGGGTTTGTTTTATTTTATTTATTTTTAGATAAAAGATCATTACATTCTTTTTCAACTACTGGTCTGAAAAATCTGGTGCCAAAAGTCAATTTATGAACACACGGATGGATGGATGGATGAATAGATGGATGGATGAATAGATGGATGGATGAATAGATGGATGGATGGATGGATTGATGGATGGATGAATAGATGGATGGATGAATAGATGGATGGATGGATGGATTGATGGATGGATGAATAGATGGATGAATGGATGGATGGATGAATAGATGGATGGACAATGAATGGATGGATGGATGATGGATGGATGGATGGATGGATGATGAATGGATGATGGATGGATGAAACATTTGTTGACAGTTTCAGGACATTTCAATAAAAATGTCTACATGTTAAATATTGATGTTTGACACAGTCAGTAAAATGATTTAAAACTGATAATTTATTATTGACCCTTCTTCATTTTCTGGTATGAAAAATAAATGGTTCAACAGTTGATTGAAAAAAATGTTAATTATAAAACAAACATTTGAGACGTTTCTGTGTCAGGATTTAAACTTAAAGCCCAACATCTCTGAATGAACTCAGTCTCATAAAGATGAAAATTTGAAGAGATGTTTATGTGTTTTCATTTAGAATCACTGAGGAGAGGGTTTGATTGGGCCTTTTTTTGTTTGTTTGCTTGTTTGTTTAGGTAGACTTAAGTTTGCAGTTATGTCTGCATTAAACTGCTGAGTCAGCATACTTGGCTCCTGATGCTTTATCAACCTACAAAACAACAGATGGAAGGTGCTTCATAAAACAATCCTTTCAGCTTCTGGGTGTTTACGTCCTGTTGGTGTTGAGCCACAGAAGAGAGGAGTTCAAGGACTTGGCGAGGGCCCCCCTCTACTCAGACAATGATTCTTCCTCCTCCTCCTCCTCCTCCTCCTCCTCTTCCTCACCTCTACACCTTCCTCCTCTGCCCTGCGTTATGACACTGAGCAATGAGGGCCACTCTGACCTTGCAGCAGCTTGCAAATGTGCACCTACCTGCTTCTCTGGCAGCTACAGGAAGGAAAATACAGGAAACAAACCGTACACCTGCAGCGGGATGTCAGTTCTGGGTCCTCTCCTGGTCCCCTGGGGGGGCTTCCAATCACCCCAAGGTCCTGCAGTCAACATAACCCTCAGACAGCTCTGCTATTCAGCACTCCTTCCTCTCCTCCAGCTCCTCCCCGCCCATCACACCTCCAGCATAATAAGTGTCTGCAGCAGCAGCACCGTGACCCCCACCCCTGACCAATTAGCGATCTGCATGTTCCAACGCCGCCCCGACATTCAGCGCCTGTTCTCTTCGCGACCCTCACCCTCCACTGAAGGGCGTTGGGAGGCAGGATTACGCAGCCACACCTCTTTGCTCCGACCCCACTCCCATTACTTACAGCTCATCCAGGAGGATGGGRAGATTATCGATGTGTCGGACAGGTTGATCGCTGTTTAAACGCAGCATGGGGACGAGCTCCTGCCAGGAGGGGAGGTTTGTCTTTCAGAGGGACATGTGGAAATGCGCAGTGCGGTGGGGGCTTCCAGCGCTGAGGCAGCTGAAAGTGGAAATGACAAACGGGCCTCTGGAGTCCAKCAGGAGCCAGTCTCCAGAGGAGGAAGTTCCTGCTCACCTTGGATCATTCAGCTTGAAGGACAAGAAGTTAAAAACATTCAATTTACTTTAATAAGCTCTGCTTTGGTTGTAGATCATTTAAAATGAAAAAAAAAAAAAAAAACCCAGAAAATAATGAATCTGAAATCTTAACTGTATTTTATTCATAGTATCACATATAATTAAAAAATGTTTAATTATAAGRAAAAAACTTGGTAATTTTGAATTTAATTGCAGCAACATGTTAGAAAAGAGTTGGACATTGACAACAGAAGGTTGTAAAAGGAAAATAAGCATTTTATAACTCATTCAGTTAATTAGAGGACTGGGCATAAAAGAGACTTTTAGAGGTTGAATCTTTAGAAGGAAGTTGAACTTCCTGCTGCTGCAGCAGAAGTCATCCCACACTTTGTCAAAGTGTTTCCTGTTTCTGTAAAAAAAATAAAAAATAAACGTCTGTCACCATGGAAACATGGTTGGTGTAATACACAAACAAGCCCAACTTACAACGTCTCAGGGCCAGATAAATGAATAACCGTCTGTTTACTTAAAACATACAGCTCAGCATCTCTCAGTGAGGAAACGATGACTCAGCAGCAGTTTATTGAGCTAAAACAACACTGATGAAAGCAAGGTGAGTTTTGGCTGCAGGTGAACAGATTCCTGTCAATGAAGCAGCAGCAGGTTCAGACTTCCAGACGTCATCCTGACAGCAGCTTTGATGAGAACCCACAGGGAGGAAGAGTGATGTTCATCAGAACCTCTGTGAAAATATAAAGGCTGTGTGGGCAGCAGCAGKTGGGAGTCTGCAGAGCAACAACAGCTCAGGCAGTTTTCAGTTCTTCTGGGTTTATGTTGGTTAGACATGTGGACAGTCAGACATGTCCAGTCAGTTCCTATAAAACTCTGATGAAAGTAAAGATGAGCCCTGGAGGTGTCCCAGGCACGTCCAACTGGGAGAAGACCCAGGGGAAGACACAGGACACTCTAAGGAGACTCTCAGCTGGTGTGGGAACACCATGGGGTCCTCCCAGAAGACTGGGAGAGGTGGCTGTGGAAAGAGAGTCTGGACCTCCCTGATCAAACTGCTGCCCCCGAGACCTACCTCTGGAACAAGAGGATGGATGGATGGATGGATGGATGGATGGATGGATGGATGGATGGATGGATGGATGGTGAACTAGTGGGAGGAAGGAGTCAATGAGGAGATGAGAAACATGAGTTTAATGGGACAGAGGACAGGTGTGAGTGGGTGTGGCGGCAAACAGAAAATAAACCACACAAATAAAAGATGCCACAAAAAAGACAAAACCATCCATCAAAACATGACAGGCAGAGTTTAAATGACATTTTAAGATTTGTCTGTTTACACAAACCTGAGCTGGTGGGAGGAGCTTAAACTGTAACTGTTCTCCTCTCCTTTTCTGCAGAGCTGCAGCTTGTTTTAGACTATATTCAGATGTTCAGTCGGAGCAGCTGCAGGGCAGAAGCAGAATTATCAGCCTATAAAAGTCTATTAACTGGCAGCTCAATCTTTGCTTTAATTTGTCTGTTTAAAGCTACAGAGCTGCTGCTGAACAAGTCAGATGGTTAAAAAAAATCCAAATGAAGTGGAGCTGAACTTATTGCCAGATTAGGTATTTAAAGGACAGTGGCTTTGAAAGATGCAGCCCAAGTTGATCTTTTATTAAACTGAAGGCAGCTGCAGTCTAATTACACCATTTTATATAAACATAAATCCAATTAAAGTGAGAAAAAATGAGTTTCAGGGTAACTTAAAGCCACTCCAAGGCTGAGTACAGGATGAAGCGTCGAAATGCTCAACACTGATCCAGGTTCTGCAGAGTTCTTCATGATGTTTCATCAAAACACTCAGAGCTTTCTGTTCAATTTAACTCAATTTATTTGTCATTTTATGCCAAATGTAGAAAACACTTAACCCAATTAAATTAGATGTTTAGTGTTTTGACTTAGATAAACAGGAAACATGTTTTTCTTTTGTTCCTGCTCTCGGAGGAGTAAGACACTTTTTCCTTCTCTCCTGCCTTTCCTTATCTTTCCCTGCTTCGCTGCTCGGAGCCTTCTCTACGTTTTCATAAGAAACCAAAAACTATGGATTATTTTTTATGGATTTGGTTAGCTGGTCTCTTAATAAATTTTTTGGAATAATTAATTTTTCCATGGGAGGAYGTGTCAAAGGTGGGACGTCTGTTCTGTATATATATTTGGATTCTGATCACTGGATTCTACAGATTGGCTTGGTGGTCTCCTGGTGTTCTACAAAACAGTGTCGGCGGTTATTCAGACCATTTCCTGGCTGCCTGACCAATATGAAGRATTGCCGTTTTTTCAGCACTCAAACTTTTACCTTAAGCGAGCTGGAACAAGGTCTGCAAGCGGTTCTGCTGAGGGTCGGGGGCCGGCTGTGGTTCCTGGACTTTGCTGGCCAGATGGAATTGATCTTGGGGAATCTGTGAGCTCGGCCCAGCRAGATTGTCCACACTATTTGTYTGATTGGATTCGCCACCTTGAGATGTACCAGCRCACATTAAYGCAGATGGAAAATTAATTGTTATTGTCTACCTGACCGAAAACATTTTCTTCTKTTCCCAAACAACTGATTACAGATTCGTGTGCCAGCTCCACCCACCCACACCCATGTGAAGGTGGTGGATCTAATTTCTCCTGGTGTTTACGTCAACTTGAGGCTCCTCCCCCACCTCTCCCTYTCTCACTTTGTTTAATCTGATTTCCTGAAGGTCAATCTTGAGCTGGACAGAATAAACAATTTAACACYAATATTCTGAACTAATGGCTGAATTATGGGTTTTTCTTTTGGAAGGCTGGGTTCTTCGGACTCTTTCTCTCTAAACTCACTGAGTCCTCTGTCTAATAAATGTGCTCTTGCTTGTTGAGGTTTTTTTTCATAAACACCATAATGTATCATATTTTGTTGATATAATATGATGTTTTTTGATTTTTCTTTTTAAAGGTAACACGACCCCTACTGGTTGCTGCATGACCTGATCACCTGTTTCCCCCATGTTTTTGTCATGTCTGTGTCTTCTTGAATGGGTGTTCTTAAATGTAATTTCATTATGCTCCTTATACAATTACAATAAAAGAAGATAAAGGCATCATCAGTCAATCAATCAATCAATTCCTTGTCTCATTGCTACAGCTAACAAACAATAACTGAGCTCTGTGTGGTATTTCCTGCATAGAAACAGTGTTTTAACATGTCCTCTTATACACACTGAAAAGAGCTATATGTCAGACTGACTATGAAATAAATAATTACAGAAATACTATTAAAAGTAAAAGTAATAGAGTTTTACTCACTGTTGAGTTGTGGTGAGTAGCAGCCATCTTGATTACTGAACTCTCCCACTTTCCAACAGGGGCTTTGCGCTCAAAGAACATTCCAGTTTAAATTTACAACTTGTAAGTGGGAAATTCCCACTTCAAAGTACAACTGGGCTGCAGCAAACGTAGCCAGCAAAAATGCACAATGGAGATTTTACACTGCAAATTACCATCTACTTTTGAATCCTTTGCAGCTTCATCTAATGGTGGGATGTTATTGATTTTCAGGTAAAATGCTAGACTTGCATTATGGGAGATGTAGCTCATGATCAATGCTGGCTTTAAAACAGCCTATTTTAAGACATTAATCCTTCTTTGAAGCACTTGCGGGCCACATAAAATGCTGTGGCGGGCCACATTTGGCCTATGGGCCCTGAGTTTGACACATTAGGGTTAGGGTTAGAGATAGTGTTGGTAAAATGTTTCTTTTCTCTCAACTTCATTCATTGAAGTGAAATCAGATTAAAGTTTGAGTTAAATTAAAGGTTTAAAGATCTTCTGGAGTTTTAAACTAAGATTATTCGTTGATGATTTTTTACCTTAAAATGAACCTTATGTTCATTCAGAGTTAAGGATGATGCTCAGCTTCTACCAGGTCAAACTTTACCTCTGGATCTCATAAAATGAGTGACTTGGCAGTAATTTCTGTTTTGGCTAAGGTCAGTGGCCATTTTGAAATAGGTTGAGTCATTTGAATATGTTTATATTCTGAGTAACTTTATTTCTTTTTTTATTCCTGCAGTCATTGAAATGTAGCTTTTGTTCTGTCTGCCCTGTAGAAATATCACATGGAACCAGGATTAAGGTGGATTTGATCAAAATAAATTAATATTTTCAGATTTTGATCCATGGATCATCCTTAGAAGCGGTTCAGAGATGAAGCCTGATTTATCTTTTTAATCATCTCTTGGAAAATGAGTCTGAATCCCATTTTTGTCATATTCTAATGAGGATTTCTTGACGTCATTTGAAAGAAGAAACCTTAAAGCAGATTTAGACATCAGGATTTACCTGCTGGGATTGAAAAGAGTTTTGATAACGTGCAGTGAAGTAAAAAAGATTTGGGGTTTTCTGCTCGAAATCATCATCATAATTAGTTGTTAGTTTTTCTCAGAAAACATTACATAGGATTAGACTCAGGACATGACCTTCAAAATCCCATAGATAGATATTTATTCTTCTTATGTCGACCAAATCTTTTTATTTTAACCAATACTTTTATGCTGGTTCCATGGGTCAAGAGTTAATGTCAGAGTTTAAACTCCTCTGCTGCCCTTGGGTTAAATAGACCCACAAGGTTTAATTCTTTTGACAGGAGGGTTAAACAAAGCTCGGACTTGATAGGCAATATTTTTAAAAAGTTTCTTTTTTTAAGAACATCAAGGTCATCAACAGTTAAATCAAATCCTCTGAGCTCAGCCTGCAGCTGTATGTACATTTGTGAACNCCTCAGCTGAGACACTCTGTCCTCAGCTGAGACACTCTGTCCTCAGCTTCCTGTCCTCATGTTCAGTGTCTTACACACCATGATACTGAACAGTCCTGTGACTACCTGACATCTTTAAACAGACCAAAGACACCTGAGTCCAACATRTCCCCGTGGACAGACTAGTCTTTTCCAGGACTGTCCTTTCTTTAGAGCAGGGGTGCCCAAACATTTTCCCTGAGAGGGCCAAAATTTAAATTAATCTGAGGGCCGTGGGCCAAATGCAATACTATAAGTAATGCAAATACTTATTAAGTAAAGTTATTTTATTTTTGTGATTAAGCTGGCAGCCAGTGGGGTTGCCCACAGTCGTTTTTTCCCTTTTTTTTAGCCCATGGACATGGAGAAAATTCAATGTATGCTCAGACAGCAAAGGCTCATGAAACTATTCATAATTTAAATTTTGAGTATTTGTATTTTTTTTTTTTTTTTGAGTATAACATAATTACAATCTAGGAACCAGGAGAACTGCTGGTGGGCCAAATGAAATGGTTTGGTGGGCCAAACTCACTCAGAAAAGGATTTTTCTTTTCCTGAAGTTCTTATTTTGAATAAAAGAAGTTTGTAAATAAACCTYGACGCCTCTGCGGAGCTGTAACCAGTCTTGCGGCCCCGAGGGCAGCAGYGGTCCCACTGATGCTGATGGGAGATGTTGGACTGAGAGACAGCCCGTCCCCTCGGGTTTAACGTGAAGCTCGGTGAATAAAACAAGACTTTTATTTTGTCGCTTCTTTCCTGTTTTGCTGCGGAGATCCTTTCAGAATAAAAGCAGGAMAGTTTGGATTTGGACGCTGCAGTTTGACCCGGTTCTGCGGGGATCTCGGGCTCAGAACCAGACCGTGTTTCCTCTGGTGGAACCGAGTTCCTGAGTCCCGCAGGAAGCTCTAACTGGACCCTGCAGAACATCAGAACTCTGYTTCCTGTCTGCTCTAAAAAGTTCCTCCTGAGTGGACTCGGGATGTCTTCTGCCGGGGACGGGGGGACGGGG